AAAAAAGGAATGATGGATCCAGCCACCCACCAAATTCCCTGAGAGACACAAGCTTCCCTAAAATGAACTTTTCAAAACTGAATATAAAGGAAAAGAGATTCCACAGTCACACAATGACAGTTTCCCTCCACACTGGATGATATACACATGCACACGCACACATGTGCGCATGTGCACATGCACACACACACGCACACATGCGCGCGCACACACACACACACAAGCCTCCAGGAAAAAATGTTTGATTGATTTGAATTTGAAATTATATTAAGCCCTTTCGAAGAATTAGCCTAAGCTACCTGAAATCCCTCCCCAAATTCCCAGTAAAGTTGATGATGATGGATGGATGATGGTGAAAAAGAAAAGTATGTCTTTGCTTTGCTGCTGCAAAAGTGAAACTGCAAGAGCACCAGCAAGCCAGCAAGCAGCAACTGTTCTCACTTCGGAGAACATGAACAGAAGTGGGGAACAGCCAGATGGGAAAAGCTTATATGAAGCATCTGTAAAAGTAGATACACCTTTCAGCAACACTACTGGCTGCCGGACATGCTAATCCAGGATCTCTGTCCTAATTGGCCAGAGCTTTGAATTGGTGCCAGCAAGCTCAGAGAGACCCCCCAAAAGGGGTAATGAATACAGATGAATATGAATGGATCGACAAATAAAAGCAAGGAAATATTCGTCAAGCCGTATTTGTCATGATTTTAAATTTGACAGATACGGATCGAAGAATATATGATGAATCGGCTATATTCGTCAGAAAAATGAATATTCATCCCCATCTCTAGTTGTAAATACAACTTGCTTCTGCAGTACACAGGTATGGTAGTGCTTAAGCAAGTTATTTATATATTTGCTACTTTCCTCACCTGTAAGGAGAGGTGGAAATCTTCAGTCTTCTAAACAGAGCCACATGGCTGCTATGTAGGATGCATTTATGCGCCTCAGATCCAACCTGGCACCGTAAGATAAGGAGTGTGATCAGTATACACAATGTTACGGAATGTTACTGCCAATCACGGAGTGGGCAGTGCAGGCCTGTTTACCATATTTATTTTATTTATTTATTTATTTTATTTATACTCCATCCCCCATGTTTCAGTGGCCCCCCAAATGCACTCAAATGGCCTCTGCCTCCTGCAATTTTTTTGTGAACAAGATTCACACTTCCAGGAAGTTTCCATCAATACGCATCTTCTTGTAAATAAGGTGCATGGAAAGCGTGCACCTTACTAATTTTAAATTCAAAGTGCTGTGTTTCTTGCGCTCAAGTTGCTAGATTTCACTAGCAAATTAGTGGAGCCATAATATGTTCTGCAAGTGCTAGGGTAATAGCCTGATATATATGGCAACAAGAGTGTCTCAGGAAGGGGAGAGCTGCATACTACTATGTTAGCATAATATGAGTGCATCGTGTACACCACTGCAATACATCTGTCTGTCTACATTAAAATAATAAATGAATGTAGGATGGGGGGGTGAACATCCACTTGCCTCACCCCATGGATATCCATGGGATATAAATATGGTCTATAAGGTAAGATGATCTCTGAAGCAATCTGAGGTAATGCAATGTTCTACTTTATGAGGTAAGAGGAAGTAAGATGTCAATGACCATCAGCATAAATTTCCAAAGGGTCAAAAACAGTAAAATTAAATGCTGTTATGTAGCATTATTATACCACAGTGACAGAGCAGCTAAGAGTTTGGAATGCCTCCCTAACAAGTCCTGCCAACAGTCTGCTTTTGGCAATGGTGAAAACAATTTTTAACTTGGGTGAGTTCTTTGAGCCTCATTGTGGTTAAAGACTTGACAAAGTAGCATCAAACAATGGTAAAACAATGGTAAAAAGAACTCTTTATCATTAACATTTTGCAGAGATTAAAGTACATTTTATTCCTTTGTACATTTTCCTTTCGATTAAATTGCCAGCCTACCCTTTCTTATTTTAAGATGGTGACGAGTAAAGGAAGTTCTTTGTTCCAAAGAACTGGCTTTCTTCCTCCTGGGATCAAAGACTAGAATTGCTCCGCTAGAAAAAGCTTTAAAGAGCTGCCGATATTTTTTGCAATCTCTCTCTGCTACCCTGAAAATATCTTGCATAAAAACTGAAATACTGTTTCTGCTCCTTTCCTTTGATAAAATTTCCAGTGCCATTCATTGCTGCAAAAACTGAAGCAACAACCTTAACCTCTGCCTTCTTCAACCATATGCATTTTAAAAGAAAGCTATATTCTATGCCTGGAGCAACATCACAGAACTTTTACTCTTACTGAAATCCTGTGTTTTTGTTTTTTTTTTAGCTTAAGCCATTTAGGCTTCCAAGGCAATTTTTTTTCAGAAATGACGATTTTCTAATTCCACTGTTCCACCAGAGGCTCCTGTAGGATGGAGGTGGGGAGTCTCTTATTTCTGAATATCACCATCTTCAGATAAATTTAACAGCAGCTGCATTTTGGGGGGGAATTAAAGACTCTTCACCACCACCACCACATCCTACAGCCCTCAATAGCTTCCCCACAATGAAAGGGATCCCACTGGAATCTTGAGGCCTTCATCTGGAGAGGGCATCAGAATTTTTTTTATTCCCAAACTATTCCAAAATACACACACACACCAAACTAAAGCAACAGGATTTCAGACATAGTAAAACTTTTGGGATGATGCTCCAGGCATAGAGTACAATTTTTGTGTACAAGATAAAAAGTTTGAACCCTTGGGAGAGAGTGAGCTTTATTTACAAGGGGGAGGGGAGCTCAAGAATCCAATTAAGTACTTTGAAAAATGTCTTGATGAGCCTTGGAATCCTACACAGAAATCAAGATTTAGAAATACCAAACCTTATGCCACCTGTCAATTATCATCAGGACAATGGTTACTACTTTCTTTTAGCCTTAGCCAGCCATTCAACAAAGGATTAGTTGGAAAGCTTGAGCAGGGAGAGAGTTCTACCTCACCCACTGTGTCACTGTCTTCACATCAAAGACAGGCTGAGGACAAGTCAGTGTGGTACAGGTGGAGCCTTATTCTTCAAGATCTCCAGCCCTGTGGAGACACTCCATGTGAGGAAAAGCTTTTCTCTTCAGACCATCTGCTCTCTGTGGAGACAGAGGCAGGTAGGGTTAGAATCTGGCCTTGTTGATTCTTTCAAATTAACCATTTTTGAAAACCTGAATAAGACAGGAAATAAGAGACTCCCACCCCCATCCTACAGGAGCCTCTGGTGGGACAGTGGAATTAGAAAATCGTCATTTCTGAAAAAAATTGCCTTGGAAGCCTACATGGCTTAAGCTAAAAGAAACACAACAGGATTTCAGTGAGAATTGAATGCATATTGCAGCTTCAGACCATCTTTAAGAGATAATTAGGTAAAGGTAAATGTTCCCCTTGACATTTTTAGTCCAGTCGTGTCCAACTCTAGGGGGTGGTGCTCACCGTACAGTGGGGTCTCTACTTAAGAACGTCCCTACTTAAGAACAATCCAACTTAAGAACAGCTCCATTTGCTAAATTTTGCTTCTACTTGAGAACAGAAATCCAAGATAAGAACAGGAAAAACAACGTTTTCTGCTCTTTTTTTAACCTTAGGTGATCTTAGGTTAAAAAAAAAATTCTCCCCCTAGTGGTAGAGTACGTATTAACCAGCTTTGCATTAGTTCCTATGGGAACTAATGCTTCAATGTACGAACGCACCTCTACATAACAAAAAAACAGCCAGAAAGGATTAATTGGTTTTCAGTCCATTCCTATGGGAAATTTTGCTTCAACTTAAGAACGTTTCAACTTAAGAACGCCATCCCAAAACGGATTAAGTTCTTAAGTAGAGGTTCCACTGTAGTTTCTATGCTGGCTATTCCTCAGCCTCTCCTTGATGTGAAGCGTGAGGTAGAACTCTCTCCCTGCTCAAGTGGGTGAAGTAGAACTCTCTCCCTGCTCAAGCTTTCCAATTAATCCTTTGTTGAATGGCTGGCTAAGGCTAAATGAAAGTACAGTGGTGCCTCGCATAGCGAGGTTAATCTGTTCCGGATTAACCTTCGCTATGTGAAAACTTCGCTAAACGGAAAGTAAAAAGCCATTGGAACACATTAAACATCGTTTAATGCGTTCCAAATCGGCTGAAAACTCACCGTTTAGTGAAGTCTTCCCATAGCCGGCAGCCATTTTCGCACCCTTGGTAAGCGAGGGGAGGGCGCGAAAATGCTGCACGCGGCCATTTTGGCTGTTCTGGCGGCCATTTTGGACCCGCCGAACAGCTGATCCGCGAGTCGCAAAGTGAAGGTCGGTAAGCGAAATGCTTACCGACCTTCGCTATGCGAGTTTCACCCATTGGGGCCATCGGTAAGCGATCGCATTAGCAATCATGGAAACCGCATCGCTATGCAATTTCGTCATTATACGGTGCGCTCGTTAAGCGAGGCACCACTGTAGTAACCATAGTCCTGATGATAATTGACAGGTGGCATAAGAGATAATTATGCTTACTCAATTGTACATACTGTAAATAGGGGATTGTGCATGTGTGCATGCTACATGTTTTTAAGATTGCTTTAAATAAAAAAAGAACCATGAGTAACTTTTTAATTATTTCTTGACAGAAATGGATGAAGTTTGCAGTACTGAGCAAAATAACACTGCCAGATTTTAGAAGAACAGCTGCAGGGATTCTGTGCAAGATCAACCTTTCCCTTGACAATCTATTTTCAAAGAAGTTTGAGGGGGATGAGGTTAAATATATTCTGCTACATGCCTTGATATCCATTGTTCTAAAAATGACAGACAACATACTGGTTGCCTTATGAAACATGTTTCAGAAGGATTGATATAGTAGCCAGTTAGGTTATTTGGGGATAGAAGAGTGAATTTCTTCCCTTTCCTCTCCCCACCCCAATCATAGAAGCATCCCCAGGCAAGAAACTAAAGAATCGGTGCAGGTGTTGGGGAGTTCATGTCGATGCATGAAAATCAGATTAAGGCTTTCTAAAATAAAGAAGCATTGTGACATTGAAGCCACAGCCATCTCCTGGTCCCATCTTTGCCCCTAACCTATCTCATTTCTACTGACTATCATCCTAATTGCCATGTTTTGGCTGTTAAAATTTATTGTCATTTTGTATTAGAGAAAAGCCAGCTCTAATTTGTATTAGAGACAAGTCAGCTTGTCCCTAACACAAACAGAACTTTTATGGCCCAATTTTATAGGCTATGTAGTCTGTTGTTGTTGAATCAGTATCACAACCAGGGGGATCATGCAATGGACCCTTGGGGTACCTGCCAGCTTTACACTGCCAAACTGTTGATCAAGAACTTCAGGGGCCTCATACAACAAAAAGCTGCATTTTATCCATGCCTGGTATGTGGGCACATCTGCATGAATCAGTGTAACATCCAATCTACCACCTAAACGCTTTGAAGTTTTCTGCCTCCAAAATGTTGCCAACCAGTAGCTTAAGGGATCAACCACATGAGGTCTTGTAGGGGTGATCAGTGCTGGCCTTGGTGCTGGCACAACACTGATAAGGTACCAGGGCACCCAGGATTTCCATCATCTGCTGCTGCTGCAGGTGAGCTCATTGAACATAGTGACTGGAGTTGATACCACTTTTGTCAAGGACTGCTTTCTGCTGTACAGTACATTGATTTTGTATAGATCTTTGGGATGGCACTGATTGCCAATTACTGATTCCCAGGCCTTTTATCTTTCATTTTTGTTTCACATCTTAAGATGGTGTGTGTGTATATATGTGACAAAACAACCACAGAGTCAGCCTGTCAAATATGGACAAAGTGCTGTTATTTCTTTCAACAGTCTTGTGCCTTACATTGAAACATTCGAAATTTAATGGTGTGCAACTTTGAAAAATAAAAACAAGGAAAAAATAAGTAATTCAGTGCTTCTCCCTCCAGGAAAAGAAATGGGCATAGGACAATACACAGCACAGCTATTCAGTGAAATTACTCACTGATCCCATAGCTAGAACCAATAGGGAGCAATAAAATTAGCTGAAATTGCAAACCATTAATTTGATTTGAAGTTGCCAGGAACTTTTGCTACATGCAATATACTTGTGAGCAAATACTCTAGCAGGATCTTGGCCTTGAGGAATGGCACTTCTAGTTAACACAGCATTAAAATAAATGCTCTGTACAATGTCCTTGAGTTTTATTTCCTGTGTAGATATTACTTCTCAGTTGAGGCAGATATCCTAGAAGTTACTTATGTTGATTCAGTCTGGTTCACTTTTCTTCAGTGGCTGGATACACAAGCACTTGCACACGCTTTGGAAAGTAATCTTCCCAGGAAAAACATTAGCACTGGGATCAGATAAAAATAATCTCCCCACCCCCTCAATTTAGAAATAGCACTCTGCCTGCCACGTGGGTGGGTCGAGTAGGGAATTCCTTTCCTCTGACTCATTGGTTTCTGTCCCAGCTCTTTCCATCAGACAGCCTACTTCTCTGTTTCTTTGTTTACAATTATTTATAGCCTGCCTTTCAGAATAAAACTCTTCTCAACAACCTTCTGATATTCCTAGTTCTGATCTGGCTCTGTTCCAGAGCATGCTTTGACTGCACCCAGCAGTTGTCATTGGAAAAAAAAAATGAGCGTGCTACTGTCTGTGCTGCTGCTATACCTTCGGTCTATGTTCAGCAGCAGCATCTCTTGATTTGACCTACTGCCCTCCTTAGAACAAAGAGATATCTGATTCTTCATGTTAAGAACATCATTAATTTTCCCGTACATGTGATGTGAAAAGCATCCTAGCATTATTTACTACCCTTTTCATAGCTTTATTCTTCATGTTCCTCAAAGCTTGTTTGGTGTACAACAGAGTTGGAACTTGCTTATGAGTCATTTTAAGGTTGTTAACTTCATATGTAGCAAAAGAAACGGGTAGAATTACCTGTATAGCTTGCTCCTGAGAAATTTGGTGAAATAATTCTTCCCTGAAAAAATCTATGCCATGGGATATGGATTGCCCATAGGTCTAGTAATTATCTTTTCCCTTGGATGGGGAGCATTACTTGGCTGCACTGAAAGACCCTTGAAACAGAAAGTGGGGATCTAGTTCAAGGATCTCCTTGTATCCTGATGACCGTGCTCTAAGATAGAGAAGTGGTATTGTTACTCCCCCTTTTTTGGGGCGGCTTTATGGAATTTGTGTCTAATTTTATCTCATTGCCTTCTGATAAGAAAATAAATGAAGCAGGAAAAAGATTGTATTCTCAAAGGCAAAAACACCCTGATCACCATAATCACCCAATCTCCTGAAAAGAACAAAAGGCTGATCCCACAGCTAGAAATACTCAACCACACTACATCAGAACACAGACAGAGTTCTAACACCTGTCCTCTGAAGATGCCAGCCACAGAGACTGGTGAAACATTAGGAAGAAAAACCTTCAGAACATGGTCAAACAACCTGAAAAACTTACAACAACCACAGGAAAAAGATTGCTTGGATTGTATTTTACATTTGGATTACAGATTCTTGTTCTTAGTGACCCCAGATTATTATGATGATGTATGTATTTTACCCAAAAGGCAGGTAGTGTTACTGACCATATTTGCATATTGAGACATAAAAACCATCTTCTTTTCTGGTATCTCAGCAAACATTAGAGTGATCATCAACCTATATTCACACAGTTTATTCTTGAATCATAGTTAAGAACAGTAACTTCAGTAGAAAAGTAGATGGTACAAAAATATTAAGATTACAGTGAGTTGATGTGATAAATCTCTATCACAGATCCCCATCTGAGTTTTTAAAAAACTCAGATGGAGGTCATGCACTGAGAAACATGGTATATTATCCTGAAGCAAACACTGATCCTGTTTTGTGTACACATTAGGCTACTTGTTCTGAAGTTAAACCTTTGTTATTATCTCAAGTTACATCAAAGGTTTCAAGAAATAGAAAACTCCCTTGGTTTGATGCAGAATGTAGCAGACTGAGGAAGCATTTGTGGAAAGTTCTTAAGTCTTCATACTGCAGGGCCACACACATGAATTTGTATAGGCAGTTGTCTACCACATACATTGAGTAAGTTTACATAGACCACTGAGAAAGTTTAGTATCTATCAGTCAAATT